AGGGTCGTTCACAGAAAAGATCACAATATATAAAACCAAAATAAGAAAAATAACCCAATAATACGCCCCCCCCCCAAAAAAAAGAGCCACATTTTAAAAGGATGTCCATCAGGCCAACCAAAGGCCTGGTTAAAAAGGAACGTTTTTTGCCTGGCGCCTCAAGGTGTATAATGAAGGCACCAGGTGAACTTCACTGGGGAGAGCATTCCATTACATTGGGAGCATTAGAACATAAGCAGAGGCCAATAGCCCATCTAGTCCAGCATCCTGTTCCCACAATTGCTAACCAGATCCATATTGGTGGCCACCCCTGCCTCCTGTGGCAGCAGGTGCCATCATTTAACTCTGCACTGTATGAATCAATGCTTTAATTGCAACTTATGGTTTCCACTCACATCCTGCAGGCCCAAGGCCTCCTTTATTCATCCCATTAATGGTTCCTTTGCAGGAGACCTACAGCAGCGAAGGAAATGAGATTATGCTCGGGGCAACACATGCAATGGCACAGGAGAGAAACACACACATACACACACTGGAAACAGATTCTGCAGTGTGAGAAAGGTGAGATGTATATAATAACCCCCAGCAGCCCTTTGACAGAGGCTCTGGCATTGTGAAGCACCATGGGGGAAGGAAGAAGGGAGTGAGAGGACGCAGCAAGTGACAGAGATTGTTTGCCTGCAGTGCCTGGAAGAAATTATCCCTTTTTCCAAAGACTAGTAATTCCCAAATCGTGTGCTGGAGCATAGCTAACACACCGTGAGAGCACTGCTAGTGTGTTTCAACGCTTGTTGTGGACATCCGTCTGTCGAGAGAGACAATGGAGTGTGCCTCCAGGGGTGAAGTCAAACTGCTATGTGTCAGATGATGATGCTGGTTGCTCGTGAGTAACCAGGCAGGACTCCGATCTGACTTTTACAGGTTTTATTGTGCAAACTATTTACCGTGCAGATCTACAAAGTTCATGTCCGACTTGGTCACTTGCAGAATCCGGGAGCGGCCCCTTCCGGCTTCTCCCCCAAAGTAAGAACTTCGGCACCCCAAGCCTCCTCCTCCCCTCCTTGCATTTCACCCCTCTGCGCTAGCTGGGCGACGGAAGTGGCGTGCGTCCCTCCTGGCCAGCCTAGTGAGGTGAGGCACTGGGGCTCTTAGCAGCATCCTCGCGCCTTTCCCTCACATGGCTGGCCCCTTCCCTCTCTTCTCCACTGGAGGTGTGGCTTTTCCCACCGCTGGAAGAGGAACTGCTCCTCAGGAGTTTCGGAGGCTCTCTGTATCCCAACGGCCCCCCTGCCTCCCTCCCCTGTTCCGATGGCAGTCCTCTGACACTATGGTTGCAGCACTGATGTCCACAGGGCACCAGCCTGGGCAGTATGTATGGAGGTCCTGGGCTGTCCAGACAAACACACACACACACACACACACAAACACACCTGGCCTCATTCGTGCGGTCCAAGGGAAAGCAGAGCAAGATGTTTGGCACCAGCTCGGCTGCAGGAGCTGCCGGAAGGAGTCATACAAAGCACCATCCAACAGACTTAGAGACTCCACTCCGAATTTGTGTATGGTTTGTGGGATGTAACATAAGCAGTCAAGTACAACATTTCCTGTTTGCCTAGAGTGGACATGCAGGGGGATGTTGGTCCAGCCAGTAGAACTTCCTGTTACACCTGGTCTGGAGCATCCTTCCTTTACATGTGACCAGGTAGGTGGGCATGACCCTTCCAGACCCCACAAAAGGTCCAGTCACGCAGCCATTTCTCTCTTTTAAATGCTTTCTCTCTTTCGTTGCCTTTTCTCGTCTTGGACTGCACTGCTGGCTCTCAGCCAGCAGCACGTGGGATGAGTTCTCATATGGGATGAACTCAAACCCTCTTCTGTAACTCTAAGCTAAAGCCTACCTTCAGGGATCCAACTGTGAACTGAATGTGAGTAAACTTGTCAATGTTAGTTATGAACAAGACTGTTGTATCTTTATTCTTTAGGAGGGAATCGAAGGGGTCTTACGAGGAATAATAGAACTTAGGAGATTCTAACGAATCTGCAACCAGCTTCCTGCTGTGTAAAAGGGGGGATATACTCTGTTGTAGCTACCAACATGAGTCTGACCAAACTGCGGGAGGCAGTGGAAGACAGGAGTGCCTGGCGTGCTCTGGTCCATGGAGTCACAAAGAGTTGGACACGACTAAATGACTAAACAACAACAACAACTCTGCTGTATGAATAAACTCACTAGCGTGGGTTAGGAAGGATAATATTTAATCAATATATCCTCTCCTGCTACCCACAACCTTCCCACATAGTTTACTCCTTAGTTTTTCCTTCTCCTGAAGATATCCCTCAAGGCAGCAGAGGTTTAGGACCAGAGTTTCCTTCTCCTAAATGAGCGCCCTTTCCAGATTGACAAGCTCCATCTGTCCCTCGTTTCTGCTACAGCATGGGCAGAAACCGCCTTCTTGACTGTTAGTCCCACTCTTGGTCTTGTCTGCTCAATCCTTCAGAGCCTGTCTTCCTATGCAGAGAAAGTCCCTAACTCGCCAAAGGTTTGAGACCCATTGACTACCCTCACCTGGCATGCCAACAGCTTCTAGGAGCCACAGGTGAGAGCTGAGTGCAGGCTGGGGAAGAAAGGTGATCAAATTACCCCAAAAGGAGCATGACATGTCCTCCAGCAGAGGTACGAACCCTCCCCTAACACCCCACCCACCCTGTTTCAACAAATGGACCCATTTTAAGGCTCCTTTGAGCCCCAGAGGTGGGTTCTGAAGAGGTGGGTACTCCATTGCCTCTCTGTGTGAGTCAACGTCCTGGTCCAACTTCCTTCCCATCAGCTTCTTCTGGGAGGTAGCTATTTCTGCTGAATTACTTCCCTCGAACTCAGTTTAGTGGGAGGGGAGAATGTTGTTGTTTAGTCGTGTCCGCCTCTTTGTGACCCCCTGGACCAGAGCACGCCAGGCACTCCTGTCTTCCACTGCCTCCTGCAGTTTGGTCAAACTCATGCTGGTAGCTTCGAGAACACTGTCCAACCATCTCGTCCTCTGCCGTCCCCTTCTCCTTGTGCCCTCCATCTTTCCCAACATCAGGGTCTTTTCCAGGGAGTCTTCTCTTCTCATGAGGTGGCCAAAGTATTGGAGCCTCAGCTTCACGATCTGTCCTTCCAGTGAGCACTCAGGGCTGATTTCCTTCAGAATGGATAGGTTTGATCTTCTTGCAGTCCATGGAACTCTCAAGAGTCTCCTCCAGCACCGTAATTCAAAAGCGTCAATTCTTCGGCGATCAGCCTTCTTTATGGTCCAGCTCTCACTTCCATACATCACTACTGGGAAAACCATAGCTTGAACTATACGGACCTTTGTTGGCAAGGTGATGTCTCTGCTTTTTAAGATGCTGTCTAGGTTTGTCATTGCTGGGAGGGGAGAATAGGGGGTTCCAAAGAGAACCAGGTTAAGGACGATTCCTTTGTAGGAGCGCATGCCTATTTATAGTCTGAAACTATGAGCTCTTTCATATGGGCAAATTCAGGTTGTACAATTATAATTGGATGGGATGTCTTGTGCAAGAAACCTGCTTCACCCCCCAAAGTGGACTTTCTGCAATAAGGAAATTGAAAGGAAAATGCGCTGGAGAATGGGCCCTCGTGGTGGCCTAAGGAGTAAGACCCCTGACTCCTGTGAAAACAGTATAAGAAAGTAGCTGGGAACCTGCTTCAGTGTCAAACACAGAGAAAGGGGAAATAAACAGACTGTGTTTTTGTATCAGTCGGGGGGAAAGATGCAAAATGTGACAAAACGTCAGAAAGAGTGTTCAAGCTGCGAAAATGAATAGCTTTATTAAACTTCAATATCATTTACAATTTATCTTCTTGTTTTCTTTCAATATAGTAATAGGATGTTCGTATGACAGACGTATATTGTGCTTCTCCCTGGTTTTCTTTGTGTTTCTAATCAATGTATTCAGATGTATTGTGACATTCTGTTCTGGAAGGTGGAAACATATTTAAAATTAATTTTTAAAAAAAATTAAAACAGTATAACAAGGGGGACTGCCTGATGTTAACAGCAAGAGTAGCAGTAAAATGGAGATGCAATAGACAGCAAGAAGCTGTATGTGCTTCTCCCATGGCACCCCTAAGGCAGGATGGTTCTGCCATTAAGACATAAAAGCGAGTCATCCTGTTCAGTGGAAGGAATCCCAGCCTATCAGGGTTCATGGAGTGTGTGAGAGATTAAATGACACACGTTCTGTTTTCCATGACTATTTCCAACTGGCAATTCATAGCGAAGGCAAACGGTGCTGCCTTAACCGCATGACCATATGACAGCTGTCTTGGAAGATCTGAAGCACCCAAACCAATGGATTCAAATGACAAGGAAGTCCATTCCTGTGGGAATGTCCAGGATGGCAGGAGAGGATATATTGTTTATTAATATCCTTCCTAACTTGCGCTAGCACCTTCCTTTACTTAGCAGAGTTTACATTCCCCTTTTACATGCACAGCAGACAGCTGGTTGCAGGCTCGTGTGAGCCTCTCACTATTATACAATTCAGTCTGTCTCAGATTGAATTGTATAGTTCCTGGCAAGTTCCCTTTAAATCCCTCTTAAAAGAATAAAGACGCCACAATCTTATTCAAAGTCAATAAAAGAAGTTTACTTACATCCGTTCACAGTTGGATTCCTGAAGGCAGACTTAGTTACAAATAGGAATAATCCCAGTGCTTCTGCTAGCTGAGAGTTAGCAAAGCAGTCCTAGCTGAAAGTTGGTCAAACGAAGAAGTCAAAAGGAGAGAGGTGTGCTGTGTGACTCATCCTTTTGTTACCTGGACAGGTTAGGTCATGCCCATCTTTAGTCACATGCAAAGTAAGGATGCTGCAGCCAGGAGGAACAGGAAGTTTTCGACTGGATGGATGGACCAAACATCCCTTGCATGTCCACTCTAGGAAAACAAGGAATGTTGTACTTGACTGCTCCAAGTGGATTACATCCCACAATTCTGACTGAACACAACAAAGAGCTTTCATGAGGGTGAGAACCGTTCAGCTATGGAACCGACTCCCTCAGAAGGTGGTGGACTCCCCTTGCTTGGAGAGGTTGGATGGCCACCTGTTGGGGATTATTTAGCTGCATTGCAGGGGTTAGACTAGATGACCCTCAGAGATCCCTTCCAGTCTTACAATTCTATGTTTCTATGAATGGGTGCTGTGGGAAGGGGTACATTCAGCAACGGAGGCAAGATTCCTGGCCTTCCCACATTATGGCGGCCCCATTTTGGTCATCATTGCTGCTATCTCTATCAGCACACTTGTGAGCTGCAAGCCATTTTATTCCTGTTTAAAGGAATGTAGGTCTTTCAGGACTGCAGTGATCATTCTATGATAATATGGCGGTGGATAAAGCTGTATTGCAACTTTTGAGTGTTTGTTTGTTTTCTTGCTTGCTTGTTTTAAAAAACAAACAAGTGCTCCATGAACTCTGTAAACTGACATGAGCACAACAGCACCCTGCGTACCTGTGCCTCAGCTGGTACCCCAAAGTGTTGTTTCTCTGGCAGTGGAAGTAGAGCACAGACACTGTGGCTGGTACCTATTGTTCTCTGATTGGTTGGGATCACCAAAGTGACCATCCCTAGGGTTACATAAAGGGAAGAGATGCACAAAGAGAACAGTGAAACAGTGTGGGAAACTCACAACAAAGCCTTAAATTCGGATTATGAAAACATTCCACATAGTGCCAAATTTCTCATTTCTGTGACATCTTTTCTCAGTTTGATGCAGGCAGGAAAAAACAGAAGAATGCATGCAGCAAATGGCAAATTCACTACTCTTGGAACGATACCCATAAATTTTGCAGCCAGAGGTGGCACGTCTTGCTCTGCCCAACAGCAGGGCCAGACCTGCACAGGGAATCCAGGAGGTGGCGGTGTGATGGCCTGGGGTTCGGATTCAGAAGATGAACCTGAGGAATCCTGGGCATGAGCCTGAAGGGTCCTCACCTGTGCTGGATCCTCAGGTGCAGGCACCAGCTGAGTCTGCTCTGGCTCCTGAGGTGATGGAGGACCCATTGCCTGCAGTTGCTCCACTCTCAGCCCCGTCAGAGGAAGCTGAGGTTGCCTCTGGGTCTGGTAACCCTCCAGCCTCTCCTGAGCTGCAGAGACTCAGGGCAGAGAGGCGGTGGGAACTAAGTTCCCGCAGGAGGAGTGCTCGCCTCCAGGCCAGGAGAGGCGAGTCACCAGAGGATCGGGGCCACCCTATGCCTCGGGGCGGATAAAAGCAAGCCAGCCCAGTCCCAGGTTGCAGGAGCAATGTTGGTGGTTGTCAGTTCCTGCCTGAACCCTGCCCTGCACCCAGCTTCGACTTTTACGGACTGCCTTCATATTGCTTCATCGACCACGGACTGGACTTGGACCTTGCCTCTTGTTTGACCCCTGGGACCAGCACAGTTGTTCTCGGCACATATACCACCCCCCCCCCCATGGAAAGACTGGTGGAAAAAGTCAAGAGATTTGGCATGGTTTTCCAAAAGCTTTCAAATAATTACCGAATAGAGGGCAAACAGACACTTCACACTTGATTAGCTAATCCATATTACGGCTCCATTAAACACACAATAGCATTTTCTGCCATCCCCCCCCCCCACTCCCTACCACCCGCCAACCCCTTTAAAAAAATTTCCAAGGGTGGGCATTCACTCAAGTCATCAGCGCTAATTGCTGGTAAAACAGAAACAAAGCTCTTAAAAGGGAAATAGCTTTTGAAGGTCTAATCTGATTAATTAAGAGAGTTAATTGTTTCCATTTTAAGCAAGCGGGGAAGGGGAGGGCAACCTCCCACAAAATTAATATTTATTCATCTTAATGCATTGTCCCAGGAACCGACACAACCTGGTTTTCACGAGGAGCTTGCAAACTCCTCCTGGGTAAACAGGAAGGAGAGAAGCGGTGTTCTCCACTAATTAAGGGTATGCTGTTCCCAACCTAACGGGTCTCAGTTTTAATCACATGCTGGAAATTGTATGCAGATGAAATCAAAAGAGCAGTTCTCCCCAGAGACAAAGGCAGAGAGCAGGGAGTCTAAAAATGCTCATCTCAAGCACGTAAATGCAGCGTGGGCAAAAAAAGTCAGCTGTCGTTCAAAGTTGTACCCTCCTCCTGCCCAGTAGATCCCTTTGCCCCCCCCCCCATAAGGCAAAGTTGATTGGCGTTGCCATTTATATGGTATGTATATGCAGGGCCAGATTGAGGTTTGATGAGGCCCTCAGCTCCTGAAGGTAATGGGGCCCTTTATATGTCCAGCTGTCCTTTGTCAACAACAAATTGATGCTGTTTTTTGTGTTGAATATATGCTATATGGTAACTGATTGACCTCATAGGTATCTCAAGCCATTTGCACATAACAAAATATGTATTTTATCAAAGTAATTGTTGAACTGAAATACAGTTAAGAAGAAGTATATTAATAGTGAAATACAATTAAGAAGTACTGTATTTTTTGCTCTATAAGACTCACTTTTTCCCTCCTAAAAAGTAAGGGGAAATGTGTGTGTGTCTTATGGAGTGAATGCAGGCTGCGCAGCTATCCCAGAAGCTAGAACAGCAAGAGGGATTGCTGCTTTCACTGCGCAGCAATCCCTCTTGCTGTTCTGGCTTCTGAGATTCAGAATATTTTTTTTCTTCTTTTCCTCCTCCAAAAACTAGGTGTGTCTTGTGGTCTAGTGCATCTTATAGAGCGAAAAATACGGTATATTAACAGTGAAATAATTATTAAGCTCTAACTTATAATGTTTTTTTTTTATTCATAACAAACTTAATAATGCAAACACACTGGCATTTGGCAATAACAAAAGTTCCTCTAGAAACACAATTTACAAAGACTCATCATCTAGTCTCTAGAAACTTGCTATAACATGAAATAATAACAGGTATAAATATATGATGCAAACTACTAATAATTATAAATAGCAGAATGTAGGCACCCTATATATAGAAAGGAGCAAACCGGTGATATTTGAGGGAGCAGGCTAGCAGGCGGGGCCCATGACTTACATCCTAGGAGCCTACACAACACAAAACACTGTTGCTGCATGTAGGTTTTATTTTATTTGTTTTTATCTTATATTTTGGAAATGTACATCCAGGTGTGTTTTTTCCCTTTAATTTTTTTGGGGAGTGGGGCCCTAAGCTAGAGCTTGTTTAGCTTATACGTAAATCCGTCGCTGTGTATATGCAACGTCATCAGATCGATTTTGCAGGGCAAGGTATACCTGCCCACTCCCCCCCCCGCAATATTTTATTCAAGTCGACACCCCTGCATAGACTTATAGATCTGGAAGGGACACCGAGGGTCATCTAGTCCAACCCCCCCCTGCAACTTCTAGTCTGAGAGACTGGCCTGGTCTTATGAAGGCAGCGTCTCTGAAGACAAAGGCAGGGAGTGCCAACCTCAGGGCAAAGGCAGGCTTCAGGAAGTGCAACCGGTTCTGTCGCACAGTATCGTGCGGAAGGTCTTGGGTTCGATCCCTGGGAACAACTTTGGATAGGGGTGAGGATGTTAGTTTCTGTTTCTCACTGAGCAGCTGCATGGAGTCATAGGACTCTGTTTACATTCCTGGGATTCCATACTATTGGAGTCTCATGGGAAAGGAGACGGGATGTGACGTTAGTGGTTTCCTGTTTCCTTTGTTCCTTTGTTCAGTTGCTCTCTGCTTCCATAGAGAGAAGATGTCTTTTCTGTTCTGTGTAGCTAGAAAATAAAACGCTTTAAAATGTAGCTCATACTGTCTAATCCTTCCCTGTGCTGGGAACTCTGCTGATTGAAGAATGTGCTTGGAGCCTTATCAAAGGCTCAGGTCATTAAGCACGTCGGAGGCGGTTTCAAAGGCTCGGTCGAACAGAGCTGCCGACAGAGAGGTGTCCCCACCTGAAACCCTGGAGAGCAACTGCCAGTCAGTGCAGGGAATACTAAGCCTGATGTGGACCAATGCTCTGATTCTGTATTATGCAGCTCCCTACGTACCTATTTTAATTTATTTGCTTCCCAATATTTATGGACCCTTTTTATCATGGATGCTATTAGTGCAAGGAAGGAGGTCTTCTGGAGTATAACTGGAATAATAATAATAATTATTATTATTATTATTATTTCTCTGAAAACAGAGGGTAATTGTGAAACCAAATATGCTGTCCTGCCTGCAGGTGAAGACGTTGTTATTCCAACTGGCTTTGGGGAACTGGCTGCTTTTAATGAAAGGGACAGTGCCATGCTATTTTAATTGCAATTATTTGTATGGTTTTAATAAATTTTATATATCTATATAGTTTTCCTTATTGACGTTTAACTGCTTTTTAATGATTGCTTTGTTCTTCTATGTTTTCATGGTTATTATTTTTATCTATAAGCGACCTTGAGTCCCATCAGAAAAAGGTAGGGTACAAGTAAATTATTATTATTATTATTATTATTATTATTATTATTAGCTACAGGGTGAAACTAGTTCTGCCTTTTGCTGCTAATTTGAGCAGAGAAAATGAAATCCTGCACTTGCACAAATTTAAATAAGCCTCCGGTGCGACAATTGGGGTTATTATATTTTTAATTAGCATGTCTCTCTTTAATGGCAGGCTTTTTGATTATTTTTTATTATAGCTCTGATGATGGGTTTGTTTGCCCTGCTTGTGTTTATTTTACCTTGATCTTTCACCAGGCTTGCTCCTTCCTTCTTCCTCACCTGTTGCTCCCTGGAACCTGCTCTCTCGCTCATTAGAAGGACCAATCAAAACGGAGATTGACCTAAGAAGATGCGGCGGGCAGGAAACCTGGTAACGAACGTGGGCACCCTGTGCACTTTCCTGATGTCGGCGGTTCAAGCCAAGGGCGCGCCTGATGCTGTTTTCACAGATGCCCAGGACCTGATTCTCAGCAATTGACAATCTGCGGCAGCCTTGCGTTATCCAACAGGCAGTCTAAGCACTTTCATAAAGCACCAGCAAAGCAGTGGCACACACAAAGAGAGAGATTTATTTTTTTACTTTTTAAGAATTTGATGGTCCATATTTCAAAATACGGGACGCAGGTGGCGCTGTGGGTTAAACCACAGAGCCTAGGACTTGCTCATCAGAAGGTTGGCGGTTCGAATCCCCGCAATGGGGTGAGCTCCCGTTGCTCGGTCCCTGCTCCTGCCAACCTAGCAGTTCAAAAGGACATCAAAGTGCAAGTAGATAAATAGGTACCGCTCCGGCGGGAAGGTAAACGGCATTTCCATGCGCTGCTCTGCTTCGCCAGGAGCGGCTTAGTCATGCTGGCCACATGACCCGGAAGCTGTACGCCGGCTCCCTCTGCCAATAAAGTGAGATGAGCACTGCAACCCCAGAGTCAGTCACGACTGGACCTAATGGTCAGGGGTCCCTTTACCTTTACCTATTTCAAAAAAAAGAATCAACGTAGTCACCATGGGGGAAAATCAGAACTTTGTTAGGCTTCCTTACAGGCCGCTCCACACTCTTCCCTCACTTATCTGTTCTCGTTTTTAAAAAATTGTTGTTGTTGTTGTCGTTTAGTCGTGTCTGCCTCTTCGTGACCCCCTGCACCAGAGCATGCCAGGCCCTCCTGTCTTCCACTGCCTCCCCCAGTTTGGTCAGACTCATGTTTGTAGCTTCAAGAACACTGTCCCACCATCTCTTCCTCTGTCGTTCCCTTCTCCTTGTGCCCTCCATCTTTCCCAACATCAGGGTCTTTTCCAGGGAGTCTTCTCTTCTCATGAGGTGGCCAAAGTCTTGGAGCCTCAGCTTCAGGATCTGTCCTTCCAGTGAGCACTCAGGGTTGATTTCCTTCAGAATGGAGAGTTTTGATCTTCTTGCAGTCCATGGGACTCTCAAGAATCTCCTCCAGCACCATAATTCAAAAGCATCAATTCTTCGGTGATCAGCCTTCGTTATGGTCCAGCTCTCACTTCCATATATCACTACTGGGAAAACCATAGCTTTAACTATATGGACCTTTGTTGGCAAGGTGATTTTTTTATTATTACTTATCCCCAACCAAACCAGAGAGCGTTCTACTAATGTAGATCAAAATAATCTGATCCGGTCATGTGCTGCAGGAAATCTATAGGCAATAGGTTTACGGGGGAAACCTGGAAGCTGTTGCTGAATCATATGTCAGAAGGGATTACAGTTGAAGTTATATGATGCACGTTTGGAAATACAGCAGGAAGACATAAGAATTAAAAAGAAATCGGGAGTGGGAAGGGAATGTTCAATATTAAAATAAATAATAAAATGGTATGAAACGTGATGGTCCAAAGGTACTGGATATCTCCTAAGTTACAATAAATGTATAAAATCACCCATTATGCTTTTTTTGGAGATCTGGAGAAGCAATGCAAATGTTTAAAGATTTAAATCTCCAAAATTCCATGTTTGGAGGCCATGTTTCATATTATTTTACCATTTTTTAGCATTAAGTCTCCCTCCTGCGATTTCTATTGATTTGCTTTGTTTTGATGCAAACTTCCTTGAAGCCATGTTCTGGCAAAAAGCACTGTGTAAGAAACAAAAATACAGAAATATTTAGGATGATGCTGAGCATTTGCCATACTCAAGAGTAAGCCCACTGAAACCAATTTGTTTAAATAAAGCGTTCTAAGTCTGCAGCCAATCACTTCCATTGGATGACCCAAGGTCTCATATGACCGGGGGAGAGAAGAACTTTTCACCCTCTCCACTTCGTGAAGAATTTTGTAAGCTGAACTAAGTGTTTCAGTCGCCTTGAGGACACTAGCAAAAGTAGGCGTGTTTGAAGACAAATTCCATGCTTCGAGCAGAACAGCAAAATTCTATAAAGCTTTTTCGACTCCCCTAGGATGTTGGTGGGGAAGTTATGATCCTTGTAATAGATCATTGTTCTGTGGGTGTCCATAGCAACCTTAATGCATGAGCCATTTTGCATCTGACAAGCGGCGGAGGGTTTTGAAATTCTCCGGAGAGTTTTGATTCCCTGTATAACATGATAGGGAACAGGCTGCATCTCTAACCACCCGGCCTATTGACATCTCAGAGAGTTTCCATGCCTCAGGTGTGTTTGCAAAGCCAGAAGGGTCAAGTGGCAAGATGTATGCTTTATGGTACAGGAGAAAGAGGTTTTGTGGAAATAAGGCAGGCAAGAAAGTTTTAAAAGCCAAACTCAGTATCCAGTGAATCCCAAGAGAATGTTACTTTTGGGGTTCAAGTACTGAAGACTTATGGATGACTAATAATAATAATAATTTATACTGCACCCATCTGGCTGGGTTTCCCCAGCCACTCTGGGCAGCTTCCAACAAGGGATTAAAAATACATTAAAACAGTCATTAAAAACTTCCCTAAACAGGACTGCCTTCAGATGTCTTCTAAACGTCAGATAACTGTTTATTTCCTTGACATCTGATGGGAGGGCGTTCCACAGGGCAGGAGCCACCACCGAGAAGGCCCTCTGCCTGGTTCCCTGTAATCTTGCAGGGACGGAACTGCCAGAAGGCCCTCGGAGCTGGACCTCAGTGTCCGGGCTGGACGATGGAGGTGGAGACGCTCCTTCAGGTATACTGGGCTGAGGCCATTTAGGGCTTTAAAGGTCAACACTTTGAATTGCGCTCGGAAACGTACTGGGAGCCAATGTAGGTCTTTCAAGACTGGTGTTATGTGGTCTCAGCAGCCGCTCCCAGTCACCAGACTTACCATAGGGAAGTTCGCGAGGGCTGTGCACTGAGTTAAACCCGTCTCATTCCTGAGCAGCATTGGGCCAATTTAGGGGCATCCAAGCCTGTTCGAGACACCTCCGGATTGCCCTGGCTCCGGTTGGGTTGCCCAGAGTGATTTGGGGCTATCACAGGCTTGTGCATTTTGCAGGATGCCTGCAGAGGAACCAATGGGTAAGTAGATTCCAGCAGGATCAAAGCCTCCATTTACCAGCTGGTGAGCAGAGAAGTCAATCCTACAGGCTGCGGGGTGCTCCTTTGCAAGAAAGGCCCCTGCCCTGATTAGGATGGGGGTCCGCATGGCCATATCCATCACTATGCTGCGGCCCCTCACTTAAAGGGCCTTCCCTAATTCCTTGCCCCTCCCCCCACCACTAGTGGAAGCAGAATAAATTGTGCAAAATGAGATTTGCGTAATAAATTCAGATGGTATACGAAGCCCTTTTCATCCATGTGAAACTTTGAGGAACAGTCGGATGGTTGGTCCCTGCTACCCAGGCCAATATTGTGCACGTTGAGGTTCTCAGTTCTCCTTCAATGACACCTAGAAGAGCCCTGTAGCTGGATCAGGCCCAAAGGGGCACATGGTGTTCAGCATCCTGTTCCTACAGTGGCCAAACCACTGTGGAAAGCCCACAAACATTATTTTTCTGGATAGCATTACAAGCTTGGTGGACATGTTGTTTGGTCGTTTAGTCATGTCCGACTCTTCGTGACCCCATGGACCAGAGCACACCAGGCACTCCTGTCTTCCACTGCCTCCCGCAGTTTGGTCCATGGGACTCTCAAGAGTCTCCTCCAGCACCATAATTCAAAAGCATCCATTCTTCGGCGATCAGACTTCTTTACATCACTACTGGGAAAACCATGGCTTTAACTATACGGACCTTTGTTGGCAAGGTGATGTCTCTGCTTTTTAAGATGCTGTCTAGGTTTGTCATTGCTTTTCTCCCAAGAAGCAGGCATCTTTTAATTTCGTGACTGCTATCACCGTCTGCAATGATCATGGAGCCCAAGAAAATAAAATTTCTCACTGCCTCCATTTCTTCTCCTTCTATTTGCCAGGAGGTGATGGGATCAGTGGCCACGATCTTCATTTTTTTGATGTTGAGCTTCAGACCATATTTTGCGCTCTCCTCTTTCACCCTCATGAAAAGGTTCTTTAATTCCTCCTCACTTTCTGCCATCATGGTTGTGTCATCTGCATATCGGAGGTTGTTGATATTTCTTCTGGCAATCTTAATTCCGGCTATGGATTGGTGGACATAGTATATCTTGATTTCAGTAAGACTTTTGGCAAAGTTCCCCATGATAGTCTTGTGGAGAAGCTGATAAAATGTGGGCTGGATGAGGTAACAGTTGGGGGGAGCTGTAGCTGGCTGGCTGACTGAACCCAAAGACTCGTCACTAATGGTTCCTCATCATTCTGGGGGAAAATGACAAGCAGGGTCATAGCTGTCAACTTTTGGATTTGAAAATAAGGGATCAGCAGCCTCACCTGCCCTGGAGACAGTCCACGGGATATCTAACAATCTGGCATAGCAGCGGGAAGGGCGGGAAACGGCGCTGAAATAAGGGAATTTCTCACAAAAAAGGGAAGGTTGACAGCTATGAGCAGGGTGCCACGGGGTTCAGTTCTGGGCTTGTTTTGGGTTTTTTAAACCAGTGTGGTGTAGTGGTTAAGAGCGGTAGACTCGTAATCTGGTGAACCGGGTTTGCGTCTCTGCTCCTCCACGTGCAGCTGCTGGGTGACCTTGGGCTAGTCACACTTCTTTGAAGTCTCTCAGCCCCACTCACCTCATAGAGTGTTTGTTGTGGGGGAGGAAGGGAAAGGAGAATGTTAGCCGCTTTGAGACTCCTTCGGGTAGTGATAAAGCAGGATATCAAATCCAAACTCTTCTTCTTCATCATCTTTATAAACAACCAACCAGTGGCCAACCAGATGCATCTGCGAAACCCTCAAGCAGAACCCACGCACAAGAGCCCTCACCTCTTCCATGGTTTCCAGCAGCTTGTACAGTGGTACCTCTGGTTGCGAACGGGATCTGTTCTGGAGGCCCGTTCGGAACATGAAAAGAATGCAACCCGCAGCAGCACGTCTGCGCACACACGGGTTGCGATTTGCCGCTTCTGCGCATGCGCGTGACGTCATTTTGCGCGTCTGCGCATGCACGAGCTGCGAAACCCAGAAGTAACACTTTCCGGTACTTACGGGTCGCCACGGGACGTAACCTGAAAGAATGTAACATGAAGCAGGCGTAACATGAGGTATGACTG